AGTCCCAGACCTGGCAGCTTGCTTTCTTGCTTTCTCTCTCTCTTACTCTGTCCCTCTCTGGTCAAATTAAAATAAGTAACTAAATAAAGTTGAATAAAATATTCTTTTATTTATTTATTTTTTTTTTGGAGAGGTTTTTGCTATAGGGCATGTGCATTCACCAGAAAGACAGAGAGAGACAGAGAGACAGAAAGCAACAAATCACCCCCCAGGGGGGATGGCCATGCTACAATCCTTTCTCCTCCATTCTCCTTTCAGGATCTTGGGCACACATGTACACACACCCAGCATGAGTTTAAGCCACCAAGTCTGGGACTTAAACCATGGCCAACTACATGGGAGTCCAGTGACATAGCCATTACGTCAACTGCTGGTCCCAAATAAAATAATTCTTTAAAAATAATAATAATATGATGATGGGGACAAGCGAGGGTGCAGTTGTTAAGGTATTGGACACTCCCACATGGCCAACCACAGTTTGAGTCCTGGTCCTAGTGGCTGGCTGGCTTTCTCACATTTTCTCTCTCTGTGTATCTCTGGTCAAATTTAAAAAAGCAAATGAGTGAATAAATGAAGTTCAATAAATAATTTTTTGAGAGGTTTTTACTATAGGATGCATGCACTTGCCACAAAGACAGAAAGAGACAGAGAGACAGAAAGTGAGAAATCACCCTCTAGGGGGGATGGCCATTCCACAATCCCTTCTCCTCCATTCTCCTCTTGGGATCTTGAACATGCAAGATACAAACCCAGCGTGAGTCTAAGACACCAGGTCTGGGACTCAGATCGCGGTCGACCACATGGGAGTCCAGCGACATAGCCATTAGGCCAACTGCTGGTCCCTAAATAAATTATTCTTTAAAAAAATTAATTGGGGCCAGCAAGTGGTGTGGTTAGGGGTGCTAGACTCCCATGTGGCCAACCACTGTTCTAGTCCCAGACCTGGCGGCTTGCTTTCTCACCTCCCCTCTTTCTCTTTCTCACTCGGTCCCTCTCTGATCAAATTAAAAATAAATAAATAAATTTAAATAATACAATTCTTTAAAATAAAAACAATAAATTGCCAGAGAATATGTGTGCATCAGCAATGCAGAGAAAAAAAGAGAGAGAAAGCATCCCTCTATAGGGGTGTAGTCATGCCACAGTTCCTTCTCCTGCATTTATTTCTCCGTCCTATTGGGATTGAAAACACACATGCAAATATGCCTGGTATGTTTTTCAAGCTGCTGGGGCTGGAATTCAAACAATGCAATAGGTCACGTGGGATCCAGCTCTCTTAACCACTAGGCCACAGGGTAGGCTCACCTATTGCATAATTTTTTTTGAGAGAGAGATTTTTGCTATAGGGTACATGTGCTTACCAGAGAGATAGAAAGAAATAGAAAGACAGAAAGTGAAAAATCACACCCCAGGGAGGATGGTCATGCCACAATCCCTTCCCTTCCAGTCTCCTCTTGGGATTCTGGGCGCGCATACGCATGCACCCAGCGTGAGGTGTTCATGGGTTTTTTTTTTTAGAATTATGTATTAATTTTATTTATTCATTCATTTCTTATTTTAATTTGACTAGAGAAAGACAGACACACAGAGAGAAGGAAAGTGAGAAAGCAAGCCACCAAGTCTGGAACTTGAACCGTGGTCAGCCATGTGGGAATGTCCAGTGCCTAAACCACCATCCCACCTGCTGGCACTCCCTCCACATCCATGAGTTTTTTAGGCCTCTGGGTCCATGACTCGAACTGTGGTCAACTACGTGGGAGTCCAGCAACATAACCATTATGCCATCTGCTGGTTCCTATTTGTGTAATTTAAAAGAAACTAAAATGTTCATAGTCTTTGAGTCATCAATTCTACTTCCAGAAATCTCTCCTACAGAAATATTTATATCTGGTGCAGGATTAATGTGTGAAGGTGTTCACTGCAACATGATTTATAAGAATAAAAAACTGAATGCTGGGGACCAGCAATTAGAGTAATGGCTATGTTGCTGAACTCTCATATAGTCGACTGTGATTCAAGTCCTGGACCCAGTGGCTTAAACTCATGCCGGGCATGTGTGCATGCATGCCCAAGATCCTGAGAGGAGAAAGGAGGAGAAGGGATTGCGGCGTGGCCATCCCCCCTGGGGGGTGATTTCTCACTTTCTGTCTCTCTGTCTCTTTCTGTCTTTCTGGCGAGCACATACGTCCTATAGCAAAAACCTCTCAAAAAAAAAAAACAAAAAACAAAAACCTGAATGCTATCCAAATGCCCATCAATAGAGGACTGTTTAAATAGATGATTACACATTCACACATATATAGAATGCTATTCAGTCCTAAAAGAAGCAAACCTGATTTACTGAAATGTAATGATAACTGGGATCAGTAGTTAGCATAGTGGTTATGTTGCTGCATTCCCACATGGCAGACTGCAGTTCAAGTCCTGAACCCAGTGGATTGAAACTCAAGGTTCACTGCAACATGATTTATTAAGAATCACACGTGCATGCGTGCCCAAGATCCCAGGAGAAGAATGGAGGAGAATGGACTGCAGTATGGCCATCACCGCTGGGGGTGATTTGTCACTTTCCTTCTCACTGTCTCTGTCTCTCTCTAGCAAGCTCACCCTAAGGCAAAAACCTCTACGGAAAAAAAGAAAGAAAAAAAAAAGAAATGTAATGATAATCAGTATGTACTGTTTGGTTTAAAAAAAGAAGGAAACATCTATAAAATGATCTCATTGTTGTTTAAACACATAGTAGAATGTGTCTAAAAATAAAACCATGAAGGAATAGATACCAAAACTACAGGAAGTAGATTACAGGGAACTTACACTTTCTTGGCATAGATATCTGAAACGTTTGAATTTTTTTTTTTAACCACAGTATATATTATTTTTGCAACCAGGAAAAAAAGAAGAAAAATGTTTCTACTTCCTCACATTCCACTGATGGTTCAGCCCACTTTAATTTGCCTTTTGCTCATCCCACCCTGCTGAAACTCTTTTGGCAAAGATTGCTAATGACTTCTGCCAAAACCAATAGTATATCTTTAGTACTCATTTTAACTTCTGAAACGCCCCACTCAGCCTCTGAAATTCACTCTCTCTGACTGTTCATTCCTTCTTAGTCTCTGTGGTAGGCAGAATAATGTCCTCCAAAAAACATCCATATCCTAATCTCAAGAACCTATAAATATGGGGTGTTGGTGGTGGTGCAGTAGTAAAACGCACACACTGCAAGTCTGACCCACATGGGAAGGTTCCAGTTTTGTGTCTGGAGACCTCTCTGACTATGTCAAGCATATGTGCCCATAATCTGGGGCTGGATGAGGCTAGAGGTGGGTTGCACTGTAAAGACCCTGTTAGGAGTGCTCTCTGTCTCTCTTGCTCATGGGAGAAGTAAATGAACACACTTTAAAAAAAGGGGAGGGGGACCAGCAGGTGGTGTAATGGTTACATCACTGGACTCCCACGTAGTTGACTGCAGTTCAAATGCCTTACTCAGCAACTTAAAATTCATGCCAGGCAAGGGATAAGCAGATGGTGTAATGGTTACATTGCTGGACTCCCATGCAGTCAACCGTGGTTTGAGTCCCAGGCCCGGCAGCTAAAAAACTCATGCCAGTTGCATATGTGTGTGTGTGTGTGTGTGTGTGTGTGCCCCAAATCCTCTTTTTTTGGGGAGTTTTTGCTATAGTGTGCATGCACTCGCCAGAAAGATAGAGAGAGACAGAGAGACAGAAAGCGAGAAATCACCTCCCAGGGGGATGGCCACGCTACAATCCCTTCTCCTCCCTTCTCCTCTCAAGATCTTGGGCACACGCGCACATGCGCCCGGTGAGAGTTCAAGCCACCAGGTCTAGGACTTGAACCACGGTCAACTAATGGGAGTCCAGCGACGTAGCCATTATGCCATCTGCTGGTCCCATGTGGCCAAAATCCTAAGAGGAGATTGGAAGAGAAGGGATTGTGGCACGGCCATCCCATTTGAGGGGTGATTTCTCACTTTCTGTCTCTCTGTCTCTCTCTGTCTCTCCAGTGAGCACAGTGCCCTATAGCAAAAAATCTCTCTTAAAAAAAGGGAAAGGGAGAGGCTTGCCCCTTGGCAGCATCAGTTAAGTGCCATAGGGAATGAGCCAAATCCTACAGAGCCAGCCACGGTTTGAATCCAGGCCCCGGTGGCTTGAAAAATATATGTCAGGTGCATATATGTGTGCTCAAAATGTTGACAAGACAGATAAATGGAGGAAAAAGGATTGCAGCATGCCTATGCCTCATTGTGGGGTGCTTACATGCTCCTTCTCTCTCTTTCTCTCTGGTGAGAACACACACCCTCTGGTAATGAAAAGAAAAAAAGACCTATGAACATATTACCTTACACAGCAAAAGATACGTTACATTAAGGCTCTTGATAGGGAGATTATTTTAGGTTACCTGAATGGTCCCAGTGTAATCACAAGAGTCCTTACAAGTAAAAGAGGAAGCCAGGAAAGAAGAGTCATAGAAGATGTGATAACAAAAGCAGAGGTTGGAAGATAATCTTGCTGGTCTGAACAGGGACCATGAGCCAAGGAATGCAGGAACTCCCTAAAACTGCAAAAGGCAAGGTAAAGGATTCTCCCCTACGGCTTCTAGGAAAAAACAGTCTGCCTAGCCTGATGGCATAGTCGGTAGGAAAAAGAACTGCATTGCTGGAAGACAAATGGGTAACACTGGGTTTGGATCCCCAGAATGGCCTGAAAACGTGACAGGTACATATATGCATGCTCAAGATCCCAATAAGCTAGAAGGCCGGGGAAAGGGGGTTGCAGCATAGCAAGATTCTGTAGAGGTTGCTTCTCTCTCTTTCTTTCATACACACACATGTGCTCTAGCATAAATAAACAAAATGAGAACAAAAAAATGAAACAAGAACAAAAATAAAAATATAGCCCTGCCAACATTTTAATTTTAGCAAGTGAAGCCCATATTGGACTTTTGACCTTCCAAACTATAAGACAATATATTTGTATTTCTTTAAGACACTGTTGGTTAATTATTCCAGCAGCAATGGGATACTATTGTACAGATTCCTTTAATAACTCCTTTTCCTCTGCTCAACCCTGGAATATGGTGTTTACCAGGATCTTGCTCACCTTTTCTTAAGTCTTTCCTTCAGTAATCTTATCTACTCTCAGGATGTCAATTACACCTAGAAGCTATATATATATTTATATTCCAGCTCTGATTTCTCTCCAGCTCTGATTTCTCTCCTTAATTCCTGATAACTATTTCTAATAACTTATCACAATATCTCCATCTTATTGACATCTCAACTGAACATGATCTTTATACTGGCCTTCCTCCTGTATTCCCCATCTTGAGCTAGCCCCATAGCCTAGTGGTTAAGGGAGCTGAATCCCACATGGCCAACCATGGTTCAAATCCCAGACTTGGGGCCGGCAGGTGGCATGGTGGTTAAGAGCGCTGGATTCCCACATGGCTGACCACAGTTCAAGTCCCGGTCCTGGAGGCTTGCTTTCTCACTTTCTCTCTCTCTGGTCAAAATTTTAAAATGATACTAACAAATGGAATTAAATAAATAAATAAATATTTTTTAAAAATCTCAAACTTGATAGATTGAAGAACACTCTAAGCACACTTGCATGTGTGCCCCAAATTCCACTAGGACGGAGATATAGAGGAGAAAGGTTAACAGTGTGACCATGCCCCATGAGGAGGCACTTTCTTCATTTCTTTCTCTGCCTGTCTGTTTCTCTCTAGTGAGCACTCATGCCCTCTGGCAAGTTAATAAGAGAAAGAAAAAAGAAAGTAAGAAAAGAGGTCCAGTCAAGTGGAGTGGTGGTTAAAGGGGATGGATCCAACATGGCTGACTGCGCTTTGAGTCCTGGACCCAATAACTTGAAAAGCATACCAGGGGGTGCTGGCAGGTGACATGATGGCTAGGGTGCTGGATTCTCACATGGCTGACCATGGTTCAAGTCCCAGACCTGGCAGCTTACTTTCTCACTTTTCCTTTCTGTCTTTCTGTCTCTCTCTGGTCAAATTAAAAAATAAAAATAATGTGGGGTTGGCAGGTGGCGTGGTGGTTAAGGGAGCTAGACTCCCACATAGCTGACTGTGGTTCGAGTTCTAGACCTGGCAGCTTGCTTTCTCATTTTCTCTCTCTCTCTCTCTCATTCTCTCTTCTCTCCCTCTGTCCCTCTCTGGTCAAATTAAAACAAACAAACAAACAAATAAATTTAAATAAGATACTAATAAAAATAATAAGTAAAATTAAATACATAATTCTTTTTAAAAAAGGAAAGAAAAGAAAAACACACTGGCACATGTATGTGCATGCCTCAGATCCTGAGATTAGATGGAGAGGAGAATGGAGAAGGGATTGTGGTGTGGCCATCCCTCCTAGGGCATGATTTCTCACTAGCAAGTGTACATGCCCTATAGCAAAACTGAAAAAAGAAAAGAAATATTCTAAACTTATCTCTACTTTGCTCTGCACAGTCCATCAGTTATTAAGTACCATGGCTTCCACCTCACTAACTCCCTTGCGTCTGCCTCTGCCTTCATGTTTATCATCTCTTGCCTAGACCATAGTGATCAGAGTAATTTCCTACTCTCTCCTTCCTCCAATCCATCCACCACAGAACTCACTTGGTTAGTGATCATTCTTCCATTTCTCCCTCTACAAACCTTACCATTTTTTTCAATGTCAACATAAATTTTCATTAGAGCTGGAATTATATACTTATTTTCATGATTCAGTCTGAGTTAGCAGAAAACTGCTATGTAAGAGTCTCATTTGTAGAAACACAGTGAAGACTCAAAATATATTTCACAGTATCAGATCGTATAAATGAAAACGTCACATATTGAGGGTTTGAAAACTGGCCAAAAAATGGTCGTTTGTCCCCATATAAGACTTAAGTTAAAACACGCACTCAAAATATTTCTTCCTATTTTCTTTTAGTTATGTCTCTGATTTAGATCAAGAGTTCCTCCTGGTTTAGGATTGTACACTCAAATCCTTCAGGAGCTTGAAAGGTAAAAGGAATGAGTGACAGCAGGGAGCCAAAAGGATTGTGGTGAACTGAAGAATACATGCCCTACTTAGAAATAATCAAGTTCAAAGAAATTGAAAACACTGCAAAGCGAACAATACGAACCAATAAAAAATCATTACTGTGGGCTGTCAGCTTGTGCTCTCTTACAGGATAAAATTAAAAACTCTTCAGGTCAGCATTCTAGCCCTCCCTAACCTGGGCCCTGCTCACCTCAGTCCTCCCTCTCCTCTTTCTCCACCTAGTATGCTGGGCCCAATCACAACGAACGACGCGCGGTCTATCCAATGCATCACTGTTGCAGCGTGATGGCTCCTCTGGCCGTATATTACTGCCTCCACCTAGAATGTCTTCTACTCTCCTCAGCAGGCCTCTAGCCCTAATCTCCAGCAAGATCTTGGAGCTGGACTCTGAGCCCAATAGGCTCGACTCTAATACACCTCAGATACAACCTGCCCCACGCTGACCTCTCTCCACTATGACTATTTTGTCATCTTTTTTTTTATCTTTAACAGGAGTGAGAGTCTAGAAATGAAAGAGCAATTAGGAGACTGTTGCAACATACTCAAAAAAAAAAAAATGATAATGAACCAAGAGTAACCATTTGGTTAATTGCCTGAATGAATGAGTGAATCACGGCCAAGCTCCCTGGTAGCACCATTACTCAGCGTCTGGTCTATCTCCTAAAGAACCTGCCTTTTTCTGTGTCCCTAACCCTAAAACATACACACGTTCCTTGGTTCTCGGAGCCTAAGAGTTGGTTGGGAGAAAAAGACTATTTCTAGATTTATAACGAAAGGGACTATCACCCTGAATCTTTCAGGCTCAGGTTGTGGTCCCTGCTTCTTCCCAAGTGTTCTTCCTTTTGGACACTCCATTTTGGCACCCACTCATCTGTGCCTCTCTTCTTTCTCAACCTTCTTTCTACACCAGATGCCTAGATTCTTCTCGACATACTTTACTTCTCCTATCAACTCCCCTTAGCCTCCAGCAAAATAATTCCTGTCCACTTACCTCCTCCCCATCTCAGGCAGCGAGCTAGATCATTTCCAGTGCCCAAGGGCAACACGGCAACAGGAGGCACAACAGGCAAGTTTGCTTTGTCTGGGGAGGCAGGTGAAGAGATGGATGGAGGAAGTTAGCTCTGGAAGACCAGCGCCCAGTCCCCTGCCTGAACCCTCTTCCTGCACTGACCAATGGTCTCTAGAATCCAGCCTACTGTGCCGTCTCCGCCACATACTAAAATCCGGCTATCAGGAACATCTCTGAAGAATCTGAGCCTGAGACAAAAGGGGAGAAAGAAGATGAAAATGAATAACAGAACTGAGCCTACCCAACTCCTGACAGGTAGATTACTTTTTTTTTTTAAGGGACAGGCTGGCCTTGAACTTGCAGAGTAGCTGGGAATACAGGAGCAAGCCACCATACCTGGTGGTAGATTACTTCTTATCTCTCATTCCTTATGAACCCTTTCCCCTTTGTCAAAAGATTTGATTTTCTTTTGGAGAGGTTTTTTGCTATAGGGAGTGTGCTCGTCAGAAAGACAGAGAGAGACAGAGAGACAGAGAGAGAGAAATCACCCCCCAGGGGGGATGGTCATGCTGCAATCCCTTCTCCTCCATTCTCCTCTCGGGTTCTTGGGCATGCATGCACACACGCCCGGCATGAGTTTAAGCCACGGGTCCGGGACTCGAACCGCGGTTGACTATGTGGGAGTCCAGTGACATAGCCATTACGCTAACTGCTGGTCCCAGAGATTTGAGTTTCTAATAAGAGCAGAAAAAAGGATGCTGAGGAAAATTGTAGCTACTCTTCAGTGGTCAGGGAAAAATGGAGAGCAGGACAAAGATGAGCACTCAAAGGATGGGATACCCAGTTACCCGGGAGGAAAGAAGAATTCCAAATTGTGACTTCTGCCATAGGGCGGGCACCACCATGCCCCCAAATTGTGACTTCTTGGCATTCTCTAGCCCTCTGCTCCTAATATGTATTATTTCCTGTTCCCTCTGACATATACAGACACACAGACACACACATAGATACACAAACATGTTACACAGCTCCTTAACTTATACTCACCCCGGCTCAGGACCATCCTTTACAAGGTCAAACACCTGTCGAGGGTTCAGGATATACTGGAACTTCCATAGCACCCTGTGTGAAGGAAGAGGAAAAGCTCGTGGTGGGGGCAAGGGGAGCGTGACAGTCTGTACCCAACCATCCTGATAGCTCTTGCCCTCTCTTACACACACATCTCTTCCTCCCTCCATGCCCTGCTAGTCCTCCCTCTCCATCTTAAAAGACCCCCTGAATATCTCTTCTCACCTTTGCCCCTGCTTCCCGCCACTCTTAGGGTTGACAAAGACTAGAAGTGGGTGAGTGTTAGAAACAGGGTCAATCTACATTGGGAAAGAAAATAAGGATAAAGACAGTGGGATTTGTCAGAGTTCAGGTGGCCCTGGACATGGACAGAGGGCTGGCATTCCATCAAGATGCTCCCCTTCTCCCCCCCACCTAGGTGGAGCTTCTAGAGAGCAGGCACCCCCCACCCTGGGCTTCCCCCCTTCATTTCCTCCCATGAGGCACAGGTAAAAAACTGGCCCCCACCATGAAGCCCAAGTCCCTCAGCCCTGTACCCGCAGAGCCTCGGAGGTGCTCAAATTTAAATCATCCGTGGTCTTCTGGCTTATTTTGTTATTTTTACGATCCTGTCCAGAGGCCTAGAAGGGGAGAAATGCAGAGGGAAGGAAAGCTGGATTATTCAGGCAATACCCAAACAGATGAGAGTCTGACTCAGATCCTAACAGTGCAGGCTCTCTGTTCTAAATGGCATTCTGGGGGTGTGTGTGTGAAACTGGGGAGACGCTCCCGTCCCAGCTGCTGCCATGGATCTCACCAGGACACTAGGATAGATGGAAGATGGAGGCAGGATGTGATCACGTAACAGCCCACAGTCACACTCAGGGCCCACGGCCTGCAGACAGTCATCATGGATCTGAAAGACAAGGTGGGCACGGGGACATCATAGAGGGGACCCCGCCCCTCAACTCACTTGAGGGTCTGCACAGGAAACAGACCCCTTGGGAGCAGAGGCAACTGTCACCTCCAAGCTGTGGAGGGCCCTGGTCATAGCCTGGAGGGGTAACTCTCAAACTGACCTCTAGGTGGCACCATACACAATGAAGCCCAGTCAGACTGTGGTAGATTCGGATCTTTTTCTGACATCGGTCACAACGCCCAGACTCACAACCTCCTCGCACCCACACGTGCGACTGGACCTTGGGGAGAAAGACAGGCACTTGCCTGGGAGGGTTTGAGCAGGGACTGAAGGAGGAAGGGACTGGGGGCAGCAACTGGTAAGGGACTAGAAGTTAGGTACAGGGCCAGGATGGGCATGGTGATGAAGAAAGTGGAGTTACTCACACCAATGTCCTTCCGAGACTTGGCATAGGTGCTGACTTCACAAGGCAGGGCCCTCATGGCACACTGGTCGTGCACGGTATACTTACAGACTGTGGGAGGAGGAAGAAGTTCAGAGCCTTAGCTTCAGCCCCTCCCCCTATTTCTTCCTTAGCTGGGGGTGAGGCAGGATCACTCAAGGGAACAAGACAAGAGATATATAACCCCTTGCTGCCAGAGTATGCAGAAAAGTAAGCTCAGGTGGGGTGGGGCTCACCTCCAAGACCTGTGCCTTTTCCTCACACTTCCTCCTAAAAGAGCCATTGCTTCCCCATGCCTGTCCTCACACCACCCAAGGGCCAGGCAGGAATCGAGCTGGATGATGCAAGGGAGGCCCAGATATAACAATAATAACTAATTTTCACTTGACGTTTTATAAAAATGTGATGCACTGTGTAAAGCACTTTTCTTGCATCACCTTGTTTAATGCTCATGATGACCTCATTTTCAGTCGCGGGAACTAAGGCTGAAAGAATGTATGTAGCTTTCCCAAGGTCACACAACCAGTCAGCAGCAGAGCCCAGGACTCCACCTCAGGTCTAAGTTCAGAGCTCCGCATCCTTGCAGATAGGCTGCCCTCACCTCCCACCCACCCAGCTCCCGTCACTCACGGTTACAGCTCAGCCCCTGTTTGCCAAGACCAATGCTTGACTCGCACAGGTTGCAGTAGACTGGTCTGGGGAACCTCTTGGGTCTCCACATGTGCTGCCCATCGTCCTTCAGAGTCTGGGAGGGCACAGCAGAGGCTAGGGAGTATCTAAGCCTTTAGAGGGCCAACCTCTGGTGAGCACAACCCGAGGCAGCAGTCTTATCCCCCCTCAGAGATTTCTCCTACTCACCATCTCCAGACCCAACAGCACTAGCAATGGTACGGTGGTGGCCCCAGCCCGGACCCATTCGGCTAGGGAGACAGACCCACTGCCATCATAGTCGATCTCTTTCATCATTTCCTGAAGAATCTGTGTGGAGAGTGGGAAGAGACCTTTAGTGTGAGTGGCTCCTCAGACCTGTCACTTCTTTACTCTTTCACCCAGCCCAGCCATCCTAGCCCAGGGAACCAAGCTGCCTGTCAGAGATGGCAGGACAGATACAGGACTCACCGGGGCAAAGGTACAAGAGTGGACATGAAGGAAGAAGTGCCTTACCGGTCTCAGCTCAGACACATCCCAATCCAGGTATTCAGCCATTCGCATCATCTGTAGGATGATTCTGTCCACTTCCTGAGGCAAAACAAGTAAGAGCCACAGCCATATCCCCCTTACTACCACCATCCATACTCTTCTCCAGAAATCAGGGTTCCTGGGTTCCACCCCCAGACCCACCTCTCATTCTCAGGTGCCTCTGCCAAGTAAATGAATGTGTCTGTGCATTTCCAGTGCCTATCTCTAGTCTTCTCTTTTAGAGGTCAAGAGCTTGAGACCTATTTCTAAATTCAGTCCTAAAGGAACCAACCTCTCCCCCAAGCATCCTCTGCTTCTTAAGGCCCTTAAAGAGTTGGGGCAGGAAGACACAGGTAAACAGACACATGTTCCCTTGCCCTGCATACAGGTCCCCAACTCACTGAGCTGTCCAGGATCCCATTTCTGTCCGTGTCATACAGCTTGAAGGTGACTGTGGGGTACATTGGGGAGCCAGAGTCAGTTTGTGAGAGATATCCAAAGAGCTCATACCAGACTATAGGGGAGACAGAGCTAGGAGAGAGCCGTTGGGTGAAGAGCCGAGATCTTGGGATGGGATGAAGAAAGGAGGTAAGCAGGAGGGGACGAGGGCATGGACATGATAGGGAAGACAGCGCAGACTCACATATCCCAGAACATCCCAGACCACCTACACGAGAATGTACAAGACATGGGAAGTGGGGTGACTATGGTGGATGGCATTAAATATAAGAAGTCTGGAGGAACAGAGGAAATGGGCCCATTTTCTGGCCCCACCTTTATCTGGCCCTGTCATCCTTTAGGAATCCTGAAAGAACGAGGAAAGGGAGGTTGGGGAATACCTCTCTCTCCCTTCACCTTTCTTCCCTCTCCCTGTCCAGAATGGAAACTCACATTCTAGTTTGTCTTCTGGTCGGCCACCTTCCAGAAGGGAAAAGTAGCAGGAGACATCACTCAGACATATCACATCTGGTTACAAAAAAGTACAGCAGATCTGAGGTCAGGGCTCACCTCCAGGTTGGCTCTTCCCTTTAACTTTCCTCCCTCTAGCTCCTACTTGAGACTGAATACTCTCTACCTCTCTCCCCACAACTGTCCCCAACATGTGACTCAATTCAACCCTCATCCCCAAACCTACACTAATGTGACTTTCCTTCCAGAGGCCCAGCCCACTCCTACCTGCTTGTCCATACCTTTTGTCACAGTTTTGTCTAAGCAGTGACCAGTTTGGAAGGACTGAAACAGTGCCAGGCTTAGCTGATTGGGTACATTATCCACTTCCAGATAGATTTTCAGGAATTGCTGGAATCCCTCATATCCAATGGCCTATGACGAGAATGAGTATTATCCTATGGGGTCTGAAGGGCGGGAGTGGGGAACCAAAGAACTGGGAGTAGTGGGGACAAGGTGATGAAGGCAGAGCTGAGAAACATCTGAGTAGGACTATGGTTTTTTGGGCCAGGCCCTGAGTTAATAGAATCTCTTGTTTTGTCTTAAAGAAAGAGCTACAGTGACAATGGGGTATCTACAAGGGAGATACAGGCCCAGAGTAATCCCTAGAAGTTGGAGGTCCCAACGGAGTAGCAAAAACAAAGACAGAGGTGTCAGCTGTTGACATGGTGATTAAGGTGGCTGGATCCCACATGGCCAATTGCATAGTTCGAGTCCTGGACCTGACAGCTTGAAAACACACTGGATGTGTCTGCATGCATGTCCAAAATTCCAAATGGAGGGAAAAATGGAGGAGAAAGGATTGCAGCCTAATGGTCCCCATGGGAGGTACTTTTTCACTTTCCCTCTCTTTCCTTCTGTCTTTCTCTGGTGAGTGCATGTGCATTCTGGAAAATTAAAAACAAACAAACAAACAAAAAATAGGGCTGGCAGGTGGTGTGGCTCTGGACTCCCACATGGCTGACTGGGAATCAAATCCTGGACCTGATGGCTTGCTTTCTCGCTTTCTCTCTCTCTCTCTCTCTCTGTTTCTGGTCAAATTAAAAAAAGTGATGATGACAAATGAAATTAATTAAATAAATAAATAAATAAAATTTTTGGGAGAGGTTTTTGCTATAGGGAGCATGTGCTGACCAGACAGACAGAGAGAGACAGAGAGACAGAAAGTGAGAAATCATCCCCCCAGGGGGGATGGCCACGCCGCAATCCCTTCTTTTCCATTCTCCTCTCAGAATCTTGGGCATGCATGCACACGCGCCCAGCGTGA